TTTTAATTACAGAAAATATCCCAAATAGTTAAAAATAAGGTGCCTCCTAAAAAAATAAACTTGCTATACCTCCAAAAACAACGCCCTTAACAAATACGTTATTGGTATTATATTTCAAATAGAAGCGCTATATTCAGCGCTCTTTATTAATGAAGTAACTATTCCATTGAATAACTCACTCACTTTCGCACCTTCATTTAGCAAAATGCTTCCATTTCCACCACAACTAGAAGCGTTATGAACTGAACTTTTATTTTTACACAAGCAATTATCAAGAAATATTTTTCTGCTAACTCACATTTCTTTGAAATTCAGTAAGCAGAAAACAATTCGAAACTCCTATCCTAGAAGTAAAGAAAGTCAGTTACTCAAGAGGTGAATATACAAGTAGTTGTGATTACCATTGCCACGCTAAAGGCAGCAAACAATTATCATTTAGCGGTAGCAAACATGCAATTAGTACCGTTAGAAATTTCGTTGTATAACAAGGATAGCGTATGGATATTTTACACTAGCTCAGAAGGTAGCAGAACCAAACCGGAGTTACGAATAAAATATGGGAGTGGCAATTTGTATGAGAGTACAAACTGCTGTTGTTCTTGCTTAAGTTGAATATTGAATTGAAAATTACTAAAATTTCAGACTGAAATGCTAAATTCCAATGAAGCAGAATACCAGTAAGGTGGAGGTACACATTTGACTATTAAGCAATTGATTCAAGCTGGCGAACAACCGTGTAGAAAGCGGTTCTAATTGATTTACTCGAGTCTCAATTATGAATGCAAGCAGCGCTTAGTTGGCTGCTTTCTGCCACATGGCTTTCAGAGAAAGGGAAAGTTGATGTATGACGGAAACAGCTATGACGGCAACGAGCCGACAGAACAGGCATCCGTAAGGAGCACGACCGGCCCACGCAACAGCTGTTGACTTAGCAGTCGAAGTATTGACTATGCGAAGTAAGCGCGAAGGCATGCTGAGTGGGTTGCGAATACTTGGCAATTAAATTCAAATTAAAGCGCAATATCTATGGCAGCCAACCTTCGGCGGTGGCGTCGTAACAGCATGATAAACTGTCAAAAGCGGCAGGACGTTGTGCGACACGACGCGGCTGTTGCTGTTGTTGTGACAGAGGCGTAACTTAAAGCATAGCAATAAAATGCCGAAGCCTGAACTTTCGTGCGACGGTGGTTTAAGCGAAAATTTGAGCAAAAGTTTTTAAATAACTTTTTTTTTCTATTCCCCCACTGCCGTAAGGGTGCTAAGTATTTGCTTAACTGTATACGCATTTACTGTTTAAATAAGTAAATAATTGGGTGATGTATAAGACCACTTTCTTCGGCTTGTCGTCGTTTCCTGAGTCCGCTATTTCAAATGCTTTTCGTTATTGCTTTTGGCCGGATTTTGCTTAATTAGCGTTGTATTTAATGCTCAGCGAAACTCATAGATTGTAGGTAGATATATAATTCTTAAATAATTAAATGTTAGGGCGAAGGTTACTATGTCAGTTTTATAGGTTATAAATGGAAATTAGCTATATAATTTAATGCTTTTAAATATTTTATTGCGCAAACAGCATTATGTTAGAATCGATTTATAGGCTCAGAGGGTTTGAATGTTTAAAATTTTCGTTACTTTTGGTATTCCGTAGTTTCTCAAATTGAATTGTGAGTAAGAATTTCATTTATTTTCTAAGTGTGTAAGTATTTAATATCGGTTAATACTGATACTAAATATAAATAGTTTAAATTAAGATTGTAAGAATATAATCGGAACAACGAAAATGATTAGGTTAGGTGAACTTGAAAAATCTGGTGCAGGCGCAACACACCCTTATTTTTAAGGCGCAAAATTTATTATTTACCACATATTAGACAAAAATTTGTATTTTGATTATATGGAAACTCAAATAGCTTTTTCATTGAGTTAAAGAAATGATTAAGGATGCTTGAATCTCAGCTTCAAAAAAGCTAAACTTTATGTTTGACACGCCAATATCACAAAATTGTTTTCCAAAAAGTTTGCGAAATTCGAGATTAAGCTCAAACGAAAGGCATGCTCTACAATGCGAAAGTGGTCTCTATTACCACTTATTTTTAAAAACTATAATATAGTTAATTTTAAAACGATCCACAATATCCACTCACTAACCACCTCACAAACGATTGGTATACATTTCAGCCAAAAATAATTTGAACTGACGTAGAGTTCAACAGATAGGAGCGAATAATATCGCTTGATCTATCAAGACGAACACAAACTCATACCTTCCAGAGGGTTGTCAAATATTTGCGAAAAGCCGACGCCATGTCATCTCTATTTTACTATAAACTTATAAGTGCTCGCCCCTAAAGTGGTCTTCTTTCTAAGCATTTTCTGATTCCCTTTCTTGGTAGAAAAAACTTTTTTCTGAACACAACTTCGCGCGTCCGTAATGGCTCCCTCTTTCCTGAGTTTTTCGAAAATATTTGACAACAACTAAGTTAGTAGTTATAGCTTCTACTACCCTTCACAAATAAAAAAGTTTTCCATACATAAACTTTAAATTTTGATCGGTTAGTTTTTGTGGCAGCGTGCTGAAGTGGTTCGATTTGAACAATAATCCATGCCAACAGTCGTGAAGATATCTTGTTAAAAAAAAGTGTTCCATTCAAAAATATTATTTGGACACTTCGTGGAAAACTTGATATACCCTGTTTCGGATATAATAAAGATGAGACCACATCTTATCTGTTTCTACTTTTTGACATCTAATATGCAGAAGTACTATATTTAAAGTGTAGATTCAAATAATATTCAAAAATTTATATTCTTGCCCTCTTTGATTATTTTGACTTAAAAATGTGCTTTCATCTCAAGACATACTCGACCGGTTTCAACCGAATGCGGTATGTAATATTAACCTCATATTCCTACATTACAGTGTAAAAATAGGTGAAATTAGACAAAAATCACGCCTATTTCCCATATAACATTTCAAGCCCAAAAGTTGTCGAAATCAGACCATAACTTTCTCAGAACCCAGATACTAAATATGTGGACCCTAGTGCGTATGGCTGACTCTTTGCCCAATATATCTATGAGGGATTTTATTGAAATTCGTTTCATTGATAATACTATACCCTCGCGCCTCAAATGGGTTGAATCGGGTCAATACTTTCATCAGCCTCCATATACCTAAAGAAAGATTTTCGAAATTTCAGTTGACTTTATACCATATATGTATATCAGCCAATGTGGCAGTTATTTTAATGAAATTGAGAGAGCGTATTTTTCTAATAATAGAGTATCTTTGTGCCTAAAATGGCTAAAAACGGTCGAAAACTTGCCTTAGTCCCCATATAACTGATATTTCCGATTTTTAAACGTCCGGCTGACTTTACTCCATATATGTGTTTATATTTGTATATATACCATATAAAATTGCTTGAAAATAAGGTTTCAAGTCTAACTGAGCAAAGTCAGAAATTAATGCGAGCAGTCCTTCCCTACAACTACAACGCTCAAATTTGGTATCATATTAACCTACTATGAAAATCAAAGCCTTCCTTAATTTCATTACTATATTTTACTTCTCGTCAGGGAAAATGCTCTGTCCCCAATGACGTTAGTATGATTTTCCCTGACGAGAAGTAAAATATAGTAATGAAATTAAGGAAGGCTATGATTTTCATAGTAGGTTAATATGATACCAAATTTGAGCGTTGTAGTTGAACCCTTTCGGTACATAAGAGAATACGGCGAGAGTATAAAATATTCGGTTACGCCCGAACTTAATCCTTCCTTACTTGTTGAATATAGTTTTCTCGAAAACTTAAAATTTGCACGAATCGTTCCAGAAATTGTACACAAACATAATGTTTATACTACAGAAATTGCAAGTTTTAGAAAAGCTATAAATAGTTTGTGAGGCTGAAAGATTTTTCTTTTTAAGAAGTATTTACGAAACTTGAAACATTTCTGTCAAGTAACACATACATTTACATATACAACCTTTCACAACTGTAACGGCTCTAAAATCTTTAGCCGATAGAATAGTTTGCAGCATAGATATATTTTTAATGATTTATTATTTTATAGCAGTCCCCAGGATAATAAAATAACATTTTTTTTAAATCTAAAAAGCATTAAAGTAGAAAATTTTTTACTAACATGTTACTACGTAATCGGCAAACAAGTATAATTACACACCTGTTTTTGCTAATTTTTATAAATTTTTTCCTGATAATTTTTAATTGCTTGACACCAACATTATTGCTTGACAAAACACTAATTAATCGAATACTTTAAATAACTTTTTTAATGACAGCGCAAGCACATGCGCTTTACTCCTCTTGGCGTATATGCTATTAATAAATAAATTACTTATTTAATTGCCGCAAATTTGGTTTTTATTGCTGTGTTCTTTTATGTTATGTAATATGGGTATTAACATTTTTTCAGTAAAATATTTGTGTGCCTAAAAAAATTGTTAATTATTGATGATTCTTCGCCCACGACCATATTTTAAAAATCCCACACATATTTATGACAAGCATATATTAAAAATATATAGGTATGTATTTATGAAGTTGTGTATGTAAAGACAAAACCGTAATTAGTAATTGGTGGTAAAACAGCTCCTTATGTGGTATTTGAAAATTCTTAAAAATTCCTAGAAATCTATTTTTACTGAAGAGTTACCCAAATGATATTTTTTCGATGGAAGCTGCAAATTATACTATCAGCATCTCTTTGAATGTGTGAAGCTCAATATGTGGTATTAAAAAATTCCTAGCAATCTATTTTGAGTCAAGAGTTACCGAAATGATCTGTTTTCTATGGAAACCGCAAATTTGGCTATCAGTATTTCTGAGAATTATAACAGAGTCGAAAGTATGAAAAAAAGGATTGAGACAACATAAATTTCAAGTGTAAAATTATATCAAATCTAATTTCAAGCTTCCGCAAACTACCACTTTAATACTCAATAAAATCTGGTTATTCCCTCATCTTATTTTCAGGAAATATTAATGTCGGTTAATCAACCTACGAACGGAGGTTGGTATTGCAGATGGGCGTAACCGGACCACTGTCACTCCCGCAAAATTGCATTAAACAAAAACCCATAAAGTGAGCGAGTTAAGTGTAATTTGATACAGGAGATTGCAATAGCTAGAGACACCTGTGGGCCCAACCTTGCACAATCCCTCACAGAAACCCTCAATGTATTTCATCTTGCGCTCAAAACTTATCAAAATCGGACTATAACTTTACAAGGACCAAGACACCGAATATGTGGACGCCAGCGCATAAGGATAATTTTTTATCGAACATATCGGTCAATCAGCAAGGTCTAGTATTGAAATTCAGCGAAAATACTTTTGTGATGACTGCATGCACTTGTGCCACAAATGGGTAAAATCGGGTTAATACTTTCTTTAGCTCCCATATACATACCTATTATAAATATTTTCGAACTTCCGGTTGACTTTATACCGCATCTAACGGTCAATAAGTTAGAAATCTTAGTGAAATTCCAAAATAATTTCTTTCTAATAAGAATGTGTCCTCTTGCCGAAAATGAATTAATTCAGGGTAATATTTTCTCTAGTTCATTATAAACTTTTGCCAACACCTGAAAGTATTTCGCCGTCCGTTTTTGATCTTTGCAAGTTGCAAAAGTAAAAAAATGTTCAGCCACACCCGAACTTAGCGCTTCCATATGTGTTGTTACTATTTACACGTTTTTTACAAACTATTTATCATTTGATCAAATTGTCAATAGAAACTCAATCAGTATTTTCTTACTCCCACTCGTTTTTTTGCAGCAACTCTAGACTGGCTTAAGCCTTTAAATTCTACGAAGTAGTCGCAAACTCCCGACCAATTTAGACGACAAGCTAAGTATCTTGAGTAATGGAAGTTGAGTATACTTAACATGATGGAAAGTTTCGACTAACTATGAGCTAATTTGGACTTAATTTTATAATGCTGAAATTCTATATCAAATGATTCCCCTAATCATATCACTATTCTAAATTAATTCAGATATACATATTGTATATAAAATATATATGTACATACATAAATAAATGCGTAGTTTCTATTGCCGTTTAGGTTATTTGTTTGACCGAACTTCGTGCAAGAGTTTTGCCATAGCCGAACTGCTAAAAAAATGTTAAGAGAAATGTGTTCGTTAAACTCAGTTCTGCATTCGTTGTTTAGAGTGAAAAAAAAAATAAATTCAAATAATTGAAAGATTTTAAATAATTTAATACCTTAAATATACTTTTAAGTTATCGGAAAACAGCTTGTTATATTATAAAAAGAAGTGACAATTATATTTAATTCTATAGCGTTTGTTTAAGTCGCTATATCGCTTGATATTTAATTGGCATAGTAATTGAATATTTTTTAACATATGTATATATTTTTTAGTGAGAAAGAATAACTTACCTGATCGTTATTTTGTGTTGCCGATAAAAAATTTTAATTTGGCTATATATTTTTGTTTCATTTTGTGAAGAAACTGGATTTTTATCAATAGAAAATGCTGCTTTTTGAAAACTCCGTTGCATGTTTAAAGTAAATCGATGTACAAAAAACATATAGTATATTAGTTTTACACAGAACACTTACAATTTTTAATATTTTTATTTTTTTTTTTTTGTGAAAATTCATGGCAACACTAGTTAAGAACAACTTTTCTTTTAGTTTCGAAATTTAAAAAAAATACTGTACGCATATTTGTTTGAAACTTATGTTTATTTATGTATATATGTTTGTCATTGTATTGGTAAAATGATTATTCGATGAGTGTACCGTTAAATTATCGTTAGCTGTCAGAGAGCACACATATGTTTAAACATTCACATATACACATACATTTTCAAACACAGACAGTGCAGCAAGTTTCATTGTGTAACTGAATGTAAACAAGTATTTGAAACACAAAACACAACCTAGTTTTAGGCGTTTTAACGCCTTTTAAAGCAATCCTTTATTTAAACTCTTGCAATCCACACTAACAGAATATTTTTACTTACTTTTCACCCGAAACGCTTTAATTTTGATTGTTTGATTTCGCAATAAAGCCAAAGTTGATTAACATAAACACGAAGTACGCACGCACACACGCGCATGCACACTGACCACGGTTCGCACGGCACGCGCAACGAATGTACACAATCATAAAACGCGAAACTTAACCGTTCTGCTCGAATGGCTGCTGGCAAATCGCAAATTTTGCGCAATTTTAATGTTCGATTATTTACCGTTATTCAGGCATATTTCTCGAACGTTTACTTTTGAAATTAATATATAACACGACGTAACGGCAACGCGCACATACGCGCACACACGCCAACGACTGTAACGGCGCACGTATAAACAGTTAATTTTTTGGTTTTGATTTCACTTTAAATTAACGAATTAAATAATAACATAAAATTCTGATTTTCACTGCTATTCACTATTCCATTCAGATTATTAACATTTTTGCAGTATTTGATTTTAATAATAATTTTTTATTTTTCGATTTCCATACACCTTACATATGTGCCAATATTTAGTATTTGTGGCCTAAATGTCGATTGGTATGAGGCCGTCACAACGTGCGCTAATTAATTATTCGACCACCAGTCTGCACGAATACCCGGAATGAACTGAAACTGAAACCGAACAATGAAAACGTTGGCAGGTCGCCTCAGGTCGGCAAATGTTAAGCGCGCACAAAGCATGTTAAGCGTAAAATATAGTTAACAGCATAAATGCACTGCTAACAGCATAAATACACTGCTAACAGCATAGTTATAAAGCTAACAGCATATATAACTTACATAAGTGTAACTACGAAGCTCGGCTGCGAAGCGCACAAGAGCAATCGTGATTTGTTGTGGTGGTTATTATCGTTTAATCAGTTATGTTTTATGTTGTTGTTTGTTCAGCTTAGCAGAGTACATGCGCTGTTGTGGGTGGTTAACAGCAGTGTAGGCGCAACAGTCTTCTTAGGAGCGCTTGTTAACACTTTATTTCCTGTAGCTACAAATACAATATTTCAGGTAACAGCGGTGACTGTTAATGTACGTTATTTAACCAGAGAACTTAGAAGATTCTCTGATTTAACAATCAATCAAAACAGCAATTTAGCTTAGTTGTGGCTATAATAAACAAAATATGAATTGGCTAGGTCAGGAATTATCATACAAACTGAGATAGGAAAATGTTATGAAGAAAATTTAAAACATTTTAGATATTAAATAAACATAAAAGAAGAAAAATAAACATAAAGTAAGATAATTTTAATTGAATTAAATTTTTGAAAGTGAATTAATTGTGTTGATTTGAAATAAGAGTTACGCATACACAGAAATAGGAAATCCATTAACTACGCTTTCACGTAGGCACTAATACCCTTCATGAATAAAGAAGTTTTGACAACGCAAACTTTATATTGATCAACCAGCTTGTATGGCAGTGCAATAAGGATCCGATCTGCAAAATTTGTTCGGAGATAGAACCATTGCCGTAGGCAAACAATTCATGTCTAAATTCGTGAAGGTATCTCGTCACGTGAAAAAGTTTTCCATAAAACGACTTCATTTTCATCGTTCAGTTTTTATAACAGCTACATATATGTGTTAGTGGTCGGATATCGTGGTTCCAAGAAATGAGCAGCTGCTTCGGAAGATATGAATGTGTGCATAATTTCAGATCGATATCTGGAAAATTAAAGCACTAGTTCCCGTGTATACACACCGTCAGACAGACGGACAAGGCTAACTAAACTCATCTCATCACGCTGAACTTATATACATATACATGTATGGTATATATGTACTTTATAGGGAAGGATATGACGGAGTTTCTGGATGTTACAAACTTTGTGTCAAACTTAATATACCCTGTTCAGCGTATAATAAGCTTTGGCTGGTCGAGATGAATTCAAAACCAAAAAAAGACCAGTATGCCATAAAAAATTTTCTAACCATATGAGCCAACAGTCTCGTTCAGTCTCTCGTCAAAAGTTTAAAGTTTTTTGTTTTGTTTTTTGCAGTGTAAATTTTCTTATTTACTTGTAGAAAGATCTCTGAAGTTTAATCTATTTTATTTCTATCTTATTGTCTTTAATTTTTTTTATCGCAAAATTACGAAAAATATGCGAATTATTAAAAAAATATATATTCTTAAATCAAAAACGCATTTGTCAATGGTTCGTAATTTTGAAAGCATAACCTGACTTATGAAATGTTTCCTACTAAAATAAATTTCTTCTGAACTCTCGTTAATATAGACAAAGCCAATGCCACAACGCACTCGCAATGCTGTCGTTAGTGACCTACTAGAAACGCCTTTATGAATTATTACCAATCATTGCATTTAAGGACACTACGAAATGAAATACCGAATTCAATGCGCTTAACAGCGCTAACGACAATAACACCCGAATTCTCACTGTTACGTTCAATATCTGAGTAATAGTTTTAACTGAGAGCGGAACTGTTTGGTATTTTACCCTGCTGCTGCTCTCTTGGCTATTACTAACAGTGGAGCGGTGTGTCGACTACTGTTGAAAGTTCGTTCAGGAACAATAAAAATAAATTATGTCAAAATCACTAATAGTTGTTAGAGAACTTAAAACTTTTTTTATTGTTTTAAGTTCTCTGGTTGTACACACCTATATCAAAAGTTAAAATTTAGTTAAAATATTAAAAACCATGCATTTCTGCAATCAAACCACATTCAAAAGTAATTAACTTTGCCATAGTACAAGTTGCATGCTCGCGGCTTCGAGCATGTTGTGTTTACGTTTGACTGCACATGCGCAGCACGCGCTCATTCAGTGGAAACTGGTTTATTTGCCGGTTTTCACTCAATTTGGAGGCAAATTTTGTCGCATTCCCAGCAACATTGAGTAAAAAGCAACATTTGACATGTTACGCATGACATGTACTCGTGTAGGATTTATTTTTAAAAGAAGAGTATGTTTGTATGTATGTTTAATTTTGAAGATACTTTGTCTTATTCTAATTTATCTATCTCGCTAAAATATTAATTAATTATATACATATTTAATAGGGTATCTGACGTTTCCTATTGAAGAGGGTATATAAAGTTTGCTATGAAATTTGTTACACCCAGAAGGAAACGTCGGAGACCCTGTAGAATATATACATAAAAGATCAGCGTGATGCGCTGAAATGATCATGCCATGTTCGTCTGTCTGTCTGTCTATATATATACATTAACTAGTCCCTCAGTTCGGAGCCGCCGATATCGGACCACTATAACTTATAGCTTTTATACAAATTGACCGATCCAAATCATGTCCTTGCCATTTTGTAGCTGCCATACATGTTTGTAGCTGCCACACAAACTTACCAATCAAATGAAGATAAAGATATTTTTATATCTTTTATGCTATAAGAAATTCACCGATGATGGTTATTATAGCTTCGGTGTCACCGAAGTTAATGTTTTTTTTCTCGTTTTAAGTTGTTAATGTTAAAACAATATAGTTATCGATATATCTGAGTAGAATAGATCGATTAAAAGTATTAAATATGAATTAATACTCACCTACATTAAAATCTAAAAAACTCGATTGCTTAAGAGTTCTAAAATGTATTCCTCTCGGTTATCTGAAATCTTATATGGTAGAAAAAATTTCAGTATTGCTGTTAGAGGACATTGTGAAAATGCTATGAACAAAATTTAATTGTTGTGAAAGCAACACTCAGAAAATTGTGTATAATTTTAATGAATATGACATAGTTAGTGTAAAATATTTCGGAAAAATAGTACTATTATTCTTTACCATACTATACCAAAAGTCCCTATGCAGCTAAAATATGCGCAACGTTTTATATGGAGTCTAAATATAATTAGTATAATTACTTAACCTCAACGCCCGATGATGGCATTATCGTAAGAGAAGTTGAGAAATTGGTTTAGTGGGTTTCAACATGGTTGCATGTTGGTTTTTGATGAGCCACCCTCAGCTGCTATCACGAGAATAATGAAACAAAATGATACACTATCTCATATCAGCAAGCCGCGGTTTGAACGTGCATAAATAGATGAGTAGATCGCCGTCATCTCAAAAGACAAAAGACAGTATTTGTCACATTTCGTATGAAATAATAGTAATAATAATCCGAAGTAACCGTTGATTAAGTCCACTGGTCGACACTAGATTAAGGAACACGTGGACTTCACTCTTTGAACTCTGTTCCGGCGGGAAAAATGATGACCACCGCTTCCTTGGATACACAAGGTATAATCTTAGAGCGTGAAGG